AACAAACAAAATCCACAAAATATGACAAAGAACCGCAATGTAGGGTTAGAAACAGGGATGACACATTTAAATTGTGATGTTTTATCCTTGAAAAATTGACATAGTGGGCTGGAGAGGTGGCTCAATGGTTAAAAGAACAGAGGTCATGGGTTACATTGCCAAGCACCCACAAGGTAGCTCACAAACATGTTACTCCAGTTCCAGGGGATCTGATGTTCTTTTGGTGTCCTTAGGTACCAGACTTTCATATGGAATGCATTCAAATGCACACATGCACGCGCGCGCGCGCGCGCGCGCGCGTGTGTGTGTGTGTGTGTGTGTGTGTGTGTGTGTGTGTGTGTTTAGGTAAAACACCATACACATAAATAATTTTTAAAAACTATATAAAATTGACCTAAAAGATTACCACAAAAACATAACATGAGGGGCTGGAGAGATGGTTCAGTGGTTAAGAGTGCTGTGTGCTTTTCCAGAGGTTCTGAGTTTAATTCCTAGCAATCACATGGTGGCTCACAACCATCTGTAGTGGAATCTGATTCCCTTTTCTAGTGTGCATGAAAACAGAGCATTTGTATACATAAAACAGATAATCTTTAAAAACATAAAATTAGGGAAAGGGAAGATGTTTAGATACTGAAAATTACTGAGTTGTTTTATAAAAATGGAAGTTGGCATTAAAGTCTAAAAGTAGCAAGGAAAGGAGAAAGCTGGAAGCAGGCCCTTATTCTGTACTTTTTTTTTTCTTTTCGGTGTTGGGGACAGAAAACCTTCTGCATGTGAGACAAGTGTTCTCTCTGAGACACACCTCTAGCCCTTGGGGGTTTAACGTTCCCTTTCACTTGTAGCCTAGGCTTCTGGGAAGTTTCCATCCTGCCTTCACCTCCAAGGGGTTAGGGTTCTAGGCATGTACTACTACCATCTGCAGCTCCTGACTGTGATTTTTCAGGTACAAGGAATGAAGACACTATGTGCAACATTTCAGTAATTCCTGTCACACCCCAGGAACCAGTGACCACTTTACACAAAACAGAATTTTTGTAGTCTAGGTCACTTGCTGGAAAGGCACTTAGCTAACTCTTGACCTCCAGATGATGTAGAATGGTTGGAACTTAAGAGAGGAAAGATACAAACAGTCCTTAAAGCTAAAAGCCCCTTTTGCTTAGAGCCTCGAAATAAGGTTCCATGGGTTCTAGGAGCAGTGTCTTGTGAGAGGAGAGCAGGGGTCTCGGAAAGTAAGACCCTACTCTGGGCTCCTTATGAAAGTGTCTTTGGGTTGGCATGATGGCACACCCCTTTAATTCTAGCACTTGGAAGGCAACACTCTGAGTTCGAGGACAGCCTGACCTACAAAATATGTTCCAGAACAGCCAGGGTTACACAGAGAAACTGTCTTGAAAAACAACAGCAACAATAAAAAGAAAGTGTCTTTGTCTGCAAGGAAGCACACAAGTGCTAAATCAATATTGCATAGAGGGCTCCAGAGATATCTCATTTGTTAAAGTGCTTGCCTTGCAAGTATAAGTGAGGGCACAGTAAAACCACTGAACTGGACCATTCCATGGGTAGAAAGAAAGGTTTATTGGGGACTCAAGATGCAAAGGCTATGGGGGAGGGGTTGCAGAGAGAAACAAAATGGTGGAAAAGCAAGTGAAGTTTATATGACAGGATAAATATAACCTGTTGAATCTGTATGATGTTATTTGTGTATATGTTTTCAGGGCTGACTGTTTGACACGAGGCAACCAATTGTTGTGCTCTTCCCCTGGGGAGGATCACCTCTCCCGAACCCAGATTTTCTCAGTTGCCTATAGTTCTTTATATGGTTGAGGCATAGTGGACTTTTCTTCATTCAGTTTGAATGTTAATTGTTGTCATCCTGTTCAGGTCACATTTGAACAGTCATGTAGTGAGACCTTATGAGTATAATTTCTGATATTAGTGTTTTTAAATTTTATTTAATTTTGTATGTGAGTGTACTTAACTTCTGCCCATCTCACTAGTCCCTAAGCTTATATTTAATGTGGAACTATAAAGGTATCACCATGAGTTGCTTTTCTGAATTTATTTCTAGTAGATTTGTAAGCAGTCAAGAAATATTTTAAATGCATAAAATAAAAATTCCAAACAGCTGGATGTGATGGCTCAGACCAGTAATCCCAGCTACTCCAGAAGCTGAGGCAGGAGAATGACAAAATCAAAACCTGTATGGGCTATAGAGCAACTTTAGGCCAGCCTAGGGAATTTTGTGGGACCTTGTCTCAAAATAAAGAACTAAAACAATAAAAAAAAAAAAAACGGTAAGACTGGCAGTATAGCTGTCAATGACAGAGCACTCTCCTACTGTATGCACGGGCCTGGATTTAATCTTCAGTACCAATAAATAAGTAAATAAATAACAAAAATTCCAGTGTTTTATCTTATCGTATACAATACACATTATATATGCATGTTTCATTTATTCAACAGAAATTTATCATTACCTGCTTTGTGCTAAGTGTTGGTCTTAAGAATCAGACAAGGCTGAGTGTGTCGATGGCTTATGCCTTTAATCTCAGCACCCAGGGAGGCAGAAGAAGACAGATTTCTGTGAGTTCATAGCCTGCAAAGCAAGGCCAGGATAGCCATAGCTGCACAGAGAAACCCTGTCTTGGGAAACCAAAAGGGGGAGGAGAAGTATCAAACAGGTCCCTATTTTGTCTTCTACCATATAAAACTTATGTTCTATGTCCTTTTTTCTGTTCCTATTTCATTATCTAAAATAATAACAACAGTTATATATTTGATTTCCTTAGTGCTCTAATACTTGAATTTATTTATTCCTCACAGTGACCCTATGAAGTAAGGTTTGTCACAATCCCTAATAATTCTCATTTTACAGATGGGGAAAACTGAGACATCGAGACTAAATCATTACCCAAAGCACACATCTGTTAAATGGTGTAGAGGGATTTAAAGCCATTTAGTCTGGCTTCAGAGCATTTCTTTCCTCCTCCTTCTCTCTTCCTATCACCTGCAAGATAGACACCTTAGCAAATACAGTCCGCCTTAAGCTATATAATAATAGTCATAAAACCATGCACTTTCTGAAGTTCACAGAGTTGATATAATGCCTCCTTCCTTTCAGCTGTGTATCACTGTGCTGTTGCCCATTTTCCTTTAGTTTTTATGAACTGATAGTTTTAGTACGAAGGTGGTCCCAAATGACCCCACCCTTTGGCAGTACCTCCAATGGAGCTCTCACAAAGACACTTTTGCCCCAACTCTCCGCTTTTCTCTAAAACATCTTATCTATTCACTGTTACTCGTTTTATCACCACCGTCTCCATCTGTCTGGACAGAACTGCAAACTGAAGCTCGACTATGATCATCACTTATACAGAGGCATGTAATTGGCATTTTTTTTTTTTTTTTTTTTGGTTCCAAGTCAAAAGCTCAAATGAAGTCACAAGGCATTCATTTGGTCTTTCTCGGTTGAGGCTTCCTATTCCAGCTTCATGATGTCCTGAGGATCTCTAGCCACCCTCTCTCCTGAATGAATGGGGCCTGGCTCCTGAGTCGGGTAGAGCTTGACAGTAACTCCAGCATTGTGTGTCCCTTGGGTGTATGTTGGGGTCTGCACGATGAGGGCTGGTGCTGTGGGGATAGTCACTGCCTTCGTAGTGTGTTCCAGCAGAGTAAGCTAATTGAGTGGCTTTTGCTGACGGAGATGGCTCTATCCACACAATCCGTGATCACTGAGCATCCATCTTGTAGGTTGCTGTGCCCAAGGTCTTGCTGAAGGTGCTACTCTGAGCTGTAGTGGTGTAGCTGTTTAAGTGCCCCCTTGCTTGATTTGCAGCCACACACTCCTGGTTAAGGAGCACAGGTAACTGAGTTGGTATTTAATCCAGCAGTCTTCTCATCTTGATGATCAGCTTGTTTTCATCTGTTGTCTATTAAATAACACAGCAGTGAATGTCTCTGTGGTTAAACTTTGGTCTTCATTTCAGCCCCATCCCCAACCTCTGGCAGTACTAGAATCTCTCTCTGAGAGCTGTGGAGTGTGTGTGTATGTGAGTGTGTTTGTATGTTTGTGTATGTGATACAGTGCATGTATGGAAGTCAGAGATTTGAGTCCATTCTTGCCTTTGACTTTGACAAGGTAGGTCTCCATTGTTTTGTTTGTTGTGCTGTGTATTTCAGGCTTTCTGGCTGGAAAACTTTGAGGCACTTCTCCTGTTTCCAAGACCAGTCTTGCTTTATGAATGATGGCATTACAGATGTGCACCACATTTTGTTTTTCAAATGTGATCTGGGAACTGAGATTGGGTTGTCAGGCTTTTGAGGCAAATGCTTGCATATGCTGAACCATCTCCCCAGCCCAAACCCAGGATCTTGTGCATACTAGTCTAGTAATCTACCACTCAAACACTAAGCCACTGAGCTATGCTCCTTGTCCAGAGTCAAATTTTAGGGTCAAAGTATATTTTAAGGTGGAATATGCAGAATTAAGGACAGTAGGGTAAGAAAAGATGCAGGTGGCTCTGGGGACATAGCTCAGTTGGTAGAGTGTTTTCTTTGTATGCACAAAGCCCTGGGTTTGATCCCACCATCTCATAAAAATTGGGCATAGGGGCTGGGGAATGGCTGTGTGGGTACAGTGCTTGCCATGTAAGTGTGGGAACCTGAGTTCAGATCCTCAGCACCATGTCAAGAGCCCGGCATGGTGGTGTGCTCTTGCAATCTTAGCACTGTGTAGGCAGGGACAAGAGACTTACTACAGGGTTTTCTACCAGAAGACAAGATTGTTGAGATTGTGCCTTGGAGTCTGGTTCTTTCTACACCTCTGACAGAGATCACAGGGGTTTTCTCTACACTCTTGCCTGAATTTTGCTTTAGTCTGATTAGGTCATTTTCTTGTTTGTCTCTTGGTTTTGTTTTGTTTAAAATTTTGTTTTGAGACAGGAATGTGCTTCTGAAGTTCATCACTCAGTGCTAATTCCATTCTTATGTCTTCACAGGGAAGCTTTATGGTGATGTTCCTTATGTAGAAGAAAGACACCGGCACCGTTATGAGGTATGCCTTTCATTTGAATTTCTGAGGGATATGGATGCCACGTGTAATGAATGGAAGCAATTGTAAATGGCCCTTTGGGAAAGGTGTCCAGCTTCATAATATTTGTAGGGAAGGCTCTTCAAATTTCCCTAGCATCTCTCCCCTTCAGAGGAAGCTATTGTGATAGAAGAGTAGATGATGGCAGAGTATCAAAGAACTTGAATACATATGGACAGACACAGCAAAAAAGACTACCCTAAACAAGCTCAGCATTCCTCCCTAACCTTTGCCTCTTGTTTCTCAGGTTTGAGAAAGATAGATAGCTTCCAACAAGGAGACAGATGCTTCTAGCCCAGGAATGAGTTTCTGGATCTTGTGTGGTGGATTATAGCTTTAAGAAACCTCTTCTGAAACTCACACTGAGCTTGAGGTTTAGTGTCCCATGACTAAGAGAAGTTAACTGCTGAGATTTCAACAGGCATGGCATCTGGAACTGTATATGGTTGTACTGGGATTATTAGTCAGTCAATCATGATGTGTTTGGCTTTGAAGGATAGTAATCTCTACTTGTTATTTATTCAAACCAATTTGAACAATAAGGACATTTATAAGCTCAGGTCACAGGTAGACTGGTCCATGGTATAGCCAGGACTCCTGTTGTCTCCATGGTTCTCTTGGCCTCCCTTTTCTGTGTGTCTGGTTTGTCCAGAGTGGTCTCTCTCATCATTGTGAGGTGGTTACCAACAGCAACTGAATTTTTTTTTTCAGTCTGATTAGGTCACTTCCTTGTTTGCCTGTTTTTTAAAATATTTTTTTTTAAATATTTATTTATTTATTTATTTATTTACTTACTTACTTACTTAGAGGCACATGATTTCATTATTCAACTCTGGCTAGCCTGGAACTCCTATGGAGAGTAGGCTAGCTAGCCTCCCAGATGCTGGCATTAAAGGCTTGTGCCACCAATCAAATTTTTGAGACACAGTCTCATGTATTGGGTCTTGAACTCCATATGGACCTGAAAGTGACCTTGAATTTTTGCTCCTCCAACTTCTACCTCCCCAGTGATAATATAATAGGCATGTGGCACTGTGCCCAGTTTTATGTGATGTTGGGGACTGAACTAGATTCATGCGTGTTAGGCAAGCACTCTACCAACGAACCTGCATCTCCAGCCCTAATGGGTCAACTTCAGTTACCTATCAGCCTGTGAATTTGTACCATTTCCAGAACCATGCTCAACATTGGTGGTCTTTAACCTGAGTTTTCACAACATCAGCCAAGAGGAATGGATGTCTTTTTTTTTTGCCAGAATCATAATTTTTTTTTAAATTTATTACAATTTATTCACTTTGTATCCCAGCTGTAGCCCCACAATCTCCTCCCAATCCCACCCTCCCTCGGATGTCTTAATCATTGTTCTATTGCTGTGAAGAGACAGAATGACCAAGGCAACTCTTATAAAATAAAACATTTTATTGGGGACTTGCTTACTGCCTCAGAAGGTTAATTCATCATCTTAGTGGGGAGCATGACTGCACAGGTGGAGCTGGAGCAGTAGCTGAACGCTACAGCCTGATCCACAGGCTGAGAGAAAGAGACACTGGCCTGCTCACTCTCCCCTCCCCAGTGACATATTTCCTCTAACAAAGCCACACCTCCAATCCTTCTCTAAGAGTACCACTCCTTAATGACTAAGCATTCAAATATATGAGCCTATGGAGACCATTCTTATTCAAATCATCACAATGTGTTTATTGTATTCGTCTTGGCTAATTGGAGTCAGCTTCTGGAATGGGACAGATAAAAGTTCCAAGACCAAACAAAAGAAGAATTTAAATCCTCAATCAAACCTGTAATTTGGAGCCCCAGGGAGATGGCTTAGAGAGTCAAGTACTTGCCAACAAATGTGAGCATTAGAATTTAGATTTACAGCACCTACATAAATGTTGGGCAAATATGATAGCCTGCCTATAATTCCAGCACACAGAAGGCCAAGACAGGATCCTTTTCGAAAGCTTGGTAAGCTCCAGGATCAGTAGGAGACTCCCCCCCCCCCTTTCAGTAGGCTATTGAAGAAGACACCCAGCATCAACCTCTGGCTGTCATGTGCATGCACACGTGTGCATATGCACCCATACCCATGTGTATCCATAGATATGCAAGCATGCTTATATACAGGGACACTACATACATGTAAAAAATTAGAATTTGGGGATAGTGTATGTTACTTTATAAAATACAGACCAAAGAAACTTAAGAAAGGATTTATTTTGGTTCATGGTTTAAGGAGATACAGACCATCACTAAGGAAATCAGGGGTAGCTGAGAGCATTTTGCCAGCAGTCAGTAAGGAGGGAGGGAGAAAGAAGAGGGGGAGGAAAGAAAGGAGGAATGCTGGTATTCAGTTTATTTTCTCCTTTTTATTCAGTCCAGGGCCCTAGCCATGGGGTAGTGTTGCATACATCAGGGTGGATCTCCCCTCCTTAGTCAGCTAACTCTTTGGAAATGCCTCATACACATGGCCAGAAGTGTGTCTCCTAGATGATTCTAAAGCCAGTCAAATTTACAAAGAAAATTACCCATCACAGACTGTTAAGTACATTTAACTTGGAGAAGAAGCAGATATAGGTAAGCTGGTATCAAAGTTCTGATTCAGAATATTCGCATTACCAAAGTCCTTTGTTCTGAGTCCTATCTCTGAGTGATACAGCATGGACCTCTCAGGTTCATGTGAGTTGAATTAGACTTAGTATCTCAGGTTTACCATGAGTTTAAAATTAGATTTGGGATGTTGAATGGAGAAATTAAGTAGAGGATCAATACAATGGAAAAATCCATCAACTGATACACAACCTCTTTATAAGCTGTTTTTTAATTACTCTATAGTTCAAAGACTTGAATTTCTTGCAATTCCAGGTGAACCCTAAACTGATCAAGCAATTTGAGAAGAAAGACCTTTGTTTTGTTGGTCGCGATGTAGATAGGAAGAGGATGGAAATTATTGAATTGTCAAGTAAGTGGGTTTTTGTTTCTGGAAGCTTCACGGTGACCTAACACACGTTTTTGTCAGACATAGACAAATTTGGGATCTAGTTCATTGTTCCCTCCCCCAATTCCTCAATTTCTTGAAATACATACAGAACTTCAGAATACATGGAAAAACACATTGCATATCATTTTGGGACCTGTTAGTTTGAACTTAGCATCAATAGCTATTTTTTCCCAAGTCTACCAACTCTATAAGTAGTAGGCATCTTTGCCATTTCCCCTTCTATCCTCTGTCAGCTCTTAGGTAAATGCTCTGCATAAAGCAGACAACTCGTTGTCTACTGGCTCTCTTTTTGCTCTTCTGCTTGTTTTTGGTGGTCATTGTGGATGTCTGTTGTATGAGGGACCAAGATCCTTTCTTGATTCTTCACTTGGGGTGTTGAATATAGAAATTAAGTAGAGGATATTGAAGTCATTGAATTTCTAGACACTAATCACTGTACTTGGGTTTTTCATAAGACCAAACAAAGGGCTGGCGATGTAGCTCAGTTGGTAGAATGGTTGCCTCTCATGCACAGATCTCTAGGTTTGGCCTCCAGCACAGTAGTATAACCTGGGCATGGTGGCACAGTCCTCTAAAGTAATCTTGGTAGGAGGACCAGAAGTTGAAGGTTATCCTTGGCTACATAGTGTGGATAACCTAGACTAAAAGACCCTGTCTTAAAACCAACAAACAAGGCAGGCAGTGGTGGCGAATGCCTTTAATCCCAGCACATTGGAGTCAGAGGCAGGCAGATCTCTGAGTTCTAGGCCAGCCTGGTCAACAGAATGAGTTCCAGGATAGCCAGGACTATACAGAGAAACCCTTTCTCAAAAAAACAAAACCACTCTGAAAGCCTCTGCCCTGCAGACTATCAAAGCAGATGCTGAGCCTGATGGCCAACTGTCGGGGCAGAGTGAATGGAATTTTATGTAAGAAGTGGGAAATAGCAAGAGCTGGAGAGGACAGGAACTCCACAAGGAGTGCAACAGAACAAGAAAATTTGAACACAGGGAACTTCCCAGAGACTCATACTCCAACCAAGGACTATTCACGGAGATAACCTAGAACCCCTGCACAGATGTAGCCCATGGCAGGTCAGTGTCCAAGTGGGTTACCTAGTAATGGGAAGAGGGACTGCCTCTGACATAATCTGATTGGCCTGCTCTTTGATCACCTCCCCCTGAGGGGAGAGCAGCTTTGCCAGGCCACAGAAGATGACAATGCAGCCACTCCTGATGTGATCTGATAGACTAAGATCAGAAAGGAGAGGAGAACCTCCCCTATCAGTGGACTTGGGGAGTGGCATTCATGCAGAAAGGGGAGGGAGGGTGGATTGGGAGGGGAGGAGAGAGGGGCTTATGGGGGGATACAAAATGAATAAAGTGTAATGAATAAAAAAATAAAAAAAAGAAAAAATATAACAACACCAAAACCAAACAAACACAATCAACCAACAAAACAAACAAAACACAAATGACTAGATTTCTGTTGAGGAGAGCATAGAAGAGAGCGTGGTGTGCTGGCACACACTTGTAATCCCAGTACTTGGAAATTTTTGATTCAGGAGGATTGATTTGATTTAAAGGCAAGTCTAGGCTTGTAGTGAGTTTGAGGCAGGTTTGGGTTACATAAGATAAATAAGTAGCACAGAAAGTATATATGGCTAGTCTAGGAGACCCTGAAGCATAGGCTTAAAGCACACATTTGTTACTGACAAGACATAAGGTATCATTCTTCTCATTTACCTAGCTTGTCTCAGCTTTTTGTCTTGTCATTGTTTAGTTCCAGTCTGCTCATTCGTGTAGAGTGTGTGTATGTGTGTGTGTATGTTGAATCAATACTTTTTCCCACATTTTCAAATGATTAAAAAATAAAAGAATACTGTCACATGAGAACATAATTATGTAATTATGTGACATTTGAGTTCTGCGTCCATAAATAGTTTTATTGGAGATTGGTGTAGGGGTGGAAAGGTGTGACCTTTTCTTCACTCATCATAAAGGTCACAGCTGGTATTCCTGTGATACAAGATTAATAAGAGAAAAGCAAGAGATGGAGATTTAGTTTGGTGGTAGAGGTTCTGGATTCAGTCTTCAACTCTGGAAGAAAATAAACAAATAGAAGAGAAAAACATGTTCTAGTTAGCTTTTCGGAGGAAAGTTTCTTTCATCTTCCAGTATATAATACATCATCAAGGGAAGCCAAGACAGAAGCTTGAAGTAATTCACAGAGGAATGGTGTGAATTGGCTTGCTCTCAGGCTCATTTCCAGCTAGCTTTCTTATATAGCCCAGGACCACCTGCTTAGGGATGGTACCACCCACAATAGCCTGCCACCCACATCAATTATAAGTCAAGAAAATACTCCACAGACATGACCATAGATTAATCTGATGGAGACAGGTTTTTTAATTTTTTTTTTTGAGACAGGGTTTCTCTGTTTAGCCTTGGCTGTCTTGAACTCTTGTAGACCAGCTTGGCCTCGAGCTCATAGAGATACACCTCCCTCTGCATCCCTGAATGTTGGGACAGTTCTTCAACTTAGATTCCCTCTTCCTAGGTGTGTCAAGTTGTCAACTACGATTTGCTAGCACAAGTCTACCTCTTGTTAACATGACACTCAAACACATCACTGTTAAACCATTCTTTTCCTTTCTTGTCCCAAGAGCTCATGTTGGTATCACAGTATATGCAGTCCAATTTTTAAAGTCTCACAGTCTTTAAAATTTTTAATGTTATAAAAGTTCAGTATCTCTTTTAATGTCTAAAGCTTCTTAATGGTGGACTTTTATAAAATTAAAATCAAACAAATAAATTATATACTTACGTATTTGAAGAGAGAAAAACACAACACAGGTACAATCAGATCAAATCAAAACCAAAATCTTAGTGTAAGAAGTTCCATGTACACCATCTGGGACTCATTTATGATCTTCTGAGATAACAAAAGGATTTGGCAGTTTCACTTCTCTAGCTCTGCCACCTGTAGCACACAGTTTGTGTTATAGATTCAGGCTGGCTTCATTCTTCCAAAGTCCTGGAATATCCAGTAATCTGGGGTCTCCACTGCAGCTGGGGCTGCACCTTCATCAGTGGCCTTCCACGCCTTCTCTTCTGGGATTCCAACTCTGCCACATGGCACCAAGACTCGTCTTCTCTCCATGACACTTTCAGTTTTTCAGCTTTCATGCTGAGCAAACCAGTACCACTGCCAGGCAGTGGTGGCTCATACTTTTAATCCCAGCACTTGGGAGGCAGTGGCAGGCAGGTCTCTGTGAGTTTGAGGCCAGCCTGGTCTACAGAGTGAGTTCCAGGACAGCCAGCTCTATACAGAGAAACCCTGTCTTGAAAAACCACACAAATGCACAAAGTATCATGTGGGCTATCTTACACATTAATAAAGTAAACACTGAACAAAACTAATTAAGGGAGGAAAGGGTTCATTTCATCATACAAGCTACAGTCCATCATAGTCAAGGGAAACCCAGGCAAGAAGAACTCAAAACAGGAGCTGGAAGTAAAAACCATGGAGAAATGCTGCTTGCTGGCTTGCTCCCAAGCTCACATTCAGCTAGCTGCCTTTCTTATACATCCCAGACCCACCAGCCCTTCTGGAGGCAGGGGTGGTGCTGCCTACAGTGAGCTGGACCCTCCTGTATCAATTAGCAATCAAGAACATGCCCTACCGACATGACCACTGGCCTCCTGATGGAGGCAATTCTTCAACTGAGGCTTCCTCTTTCCATGTGTGTCAGGTTGACAAGATTAGCCATTACAAAGCATAACAAATCTAGTTAGTTAGTTAGTTTCATGTGACACAGGGGTCTTCCAAAATGATAACTCAAAGATCGGGGGGTGGGGCACACTTTTTCATTCTTAGATTTGAAGAGTAATAGGCAGCCTGTGGAAATGTGATAAGGCAAAAGTTGTGATAGACTGAGGGGCCAGCGAGACTGTTCAGATTCTTCTTAGCCTTTCTCTGCATCATTCTTCCCCCATAGATGCAGGGCAGAATCCCTCCGGAATGAGGGGCTTTCCCCCCACTGCTGTTTTTTTTGTTTTGTTTTGTTGTTTTTTTTTCTGAGACAGTCTCATGTATCCCAGGCTTACCTTCTTCAACTCAGTACCTAGCTGAGGCTTGCCTTGAATTCCTTCTCCCCCTTGGCCCCATCTCCCATATCCTAGAATCACAGGTGTGGGTTGTGTGGGCTGTGCCTGGCAAGCAAGAGGGTATTATGACCTACTTTCAGGCAAGGTAACTCATTCAAGAGTTTATGCTGGCTCCCACACACAACAGCAAAAATGGTCAAAGTGACCTCGCTTCTGACGCTGCTTTTTACGTTACAGTAAGAAAGAAGTTGTGAAAGAGGCTTCATGTCTTGCAATGCTTAAAATACTTATTATTCAACCCTTTACAGAAATATTTGCAACCCCCAGCCTAGACCCACATGTATACACCTTCATTTGACAAACTTGAATATTTCTTGATCTGTTTGTCTGGCTGTTTTCTTGGCATGTTCGTTTTATGTTAAATTAAATTTAAATGTTCTCCAGTCGCTTCTTCAGGGTGATTTATGTTAATGAACCATCATTGTACTCTCCTGGGAGTTTCTTACACTTTCTGTCATTGACTTTTGGAGCAAGATCATTTTTTGTTTGTTTTTGAGCTGTCCTGTGTTCTGTGTGGTATTTGTAAGCATCCCTGGCCTCTAGTCAATGGATACTAGTAGCAGGCTTCATTCACCCTACCCCTTAGTTGTAGCATTTTAAAAACATCTTACAGAGACGGAGAAAAGGTCTATTTTTTTGGCAGAGTGTTTGTCCAGTATGTACAAGGTCCTGGGCTCAGTTCACAGTACCTCAGTGCCAGCTGTAATGCTGGACTTCGTAATCCCAGTACTTAGAAGGTACTTAGAAGCAAGAGGACCAAGAGTTTAAGGTCATTTTTAGGTACATTAAGGTCTACCTGGGCTACAAGAGACC